CTCCCCTCCCATCTTCCCTCTCTACCTCATCTGCTGTTGTTCAATTCTCTCCCTTGTTTCCCCCCCTCCTTTCCCCTCACAACCTCTTATATGTAATTTTGTGTAACATTGAGGGTCTCCTACCATTTCCATATGCTTTCCCTTCTCTCTCCCTTTCTCTCCCCCCACTCGTCTGTGTTTAGTATTAATCTTTTCCTCATGCTCTTCCTCCCTGTTCTGTTGTTAGTTGCTCTCTTTATATCAAAGAAGACATTTGGCATTTGTTTTTTAAGGATTGGCTAGCTTTGCTTAGCATAAACTGTTCTAATGCCATCCATTTCCCTGCAAATTCTATGATTTTGTCATTTTTTAGTGCTGCATAATACTCCATTGTGTATAGATGCCAATATCTTATAGTTTACCTTCTTGTTTTTTAATAAATCCTTTTCAATCAAACATGTTAAGAAATTAATTCAAAAGCAAGAAAACATGACCGTGAATATGTAATGGAATGTAGGAAACAAAGAGTAGATGACATATTACATAGAAAAAGAAATCCACCTACCGGGGTTTTAGTGTTAATATAAAGAAATGTTTTATGTAGTTGTCTTTCTGGAATTTGAATTGGAGAGAGAGCATGGGACTGTATCTCTGCAAAAAGGTGCTTAAACAATAGTTCTTCCTTCATTTTGTTTCTTCATTGCATCAGATGTTAAAAATATAACCTATCTGTTGGGCTTTTCATTTTTGTAATATCTAAATGAGTACTGAGAGTGGCTTTTTTGTTGTTATTGTTCTTTTGTGGGGAAGGGTCTTGTGGAGAGTAAACTCAAGGGCACTTTACCACTGAGGTACATCTCAGTTCTTTTTATTTTGAGACAAATTCTTGCTAAATTGCTGAATCTGGCTTTGAATTTGCAATCTTCCTACTTCAGCCTCCCAAGTCACTGGGATTATAGACATGCATTACTGTGCCTGACTCGAGAATGGCTTTTAAGACAATAGAATACTTTATATTGATTACCTTACTTTTTCTACCATATGATTTATTACCTTACTTGTTTTAATGTGTAATTTATTAATAGGCAAAAATTTCATTGTGTTGATTTGTTTTAAACACATTTTATTGTAGTAGGTTACGTTTTAAAAATACACTTTTATTTAATATGGAAGCATACCCATATTAAATTACTTTGATTTCCAGACCGATGGCTTATGGCCATATCTGACGCTTGCAAGGGAAAGGAAAAGATTTGAATCCAAGACAGGAAAGAAGATATCTTTTAATATTAGATTTTGTACTAGAATTATGCAAGCAGCATTCTTAGTACTTAAACTTGGGGAACTGGATATTATGCTTTATTCTAATGTACTAAGATAGAAGAGTATACACATATATGTATACACACACATACTTTCTTTCAAGTACTTGAGTCTGTGTGTGTGTGTGCACGTGCATGTGTGTGCATACGTGTGCATGCATGTGTATTGGAGTTGAAAGAGATGGCTAGATGGTCATAAGGCAAAAATTACCAGGCTGGGAATGTGGCTCAGTGGTAGAGTGCTTGCCTAGCATGTGTGAGGCCTTGGTTTCAATCCCTAGTACTGCCAAAATGTGTGTATGTGTGTGTGATCATTGAAAAGAACTTAGCTTACCTCAGCTTTCTTCTTTCATCTAAAGTCCAAAAAAGTTATATAATAGCTGTTCAGCTTCATCATAGTAAGGGGGGAAGCATACCCATATTAAGTTACTTTGATTGAAACACACCAATTTACAGTTACTTTGATTGAATTCTAACAACTGTTAGCCATTTGCTAGGACATAAAACATAACTTTATTCCTATAACACTTCTTTTATTGAAATTATTGTAATGGAACCCAAACAATGTTAACAATGTATTTCTTCTTTGTAGGGCTATTCCCACTGTGTTGATGTTTATATAAAGCAGTGCCAGGAGGTAACATAACAATATACTTTATTGAATTTTATTTTATGCTGATTTGTATTTTAAAACCATTAAAAATATTATGTTAAATGCTTCTATTTAGGGTGCCTACTTGAGAAATGATATATTTGAAGATGCAGCGATACTTTGTCAACGAGTAAACAAGCAAGTTGGAGATATTTTTAGTAATCCAGAAACAGTACTGGCTAAACTTATTCAAAATGTATTTGAAATCAAACTACAGGTAATTTTAAATAGTAACAAATAAAATAATTCTTAAGAAAATATGTGATTTTTTTTATATTTTAGAAATTTCATTTTTAATTTAGTTTACTTATATGATGACTTTAGAAATAGTAATCTATTTACTTAAGGGGAAAGGAATGTCAGTATTATGCTTTTTAAAAAATGGTTTGTTATTCATGAAGGAAAAGATGTTGATCACTTAGTATTATCACAGCATGTTCTTCAAATTTGTTACAGCAATAGTAGTAGTAATATAATGCATTAAGGTAGCTTAATGTTTTGTTTTGATTTGGGTTTTGGTGTTCACCACAACTAATAATAACAAGTATTTAATACTGTATAGCAGTATACAGTATTAAATACTTGTGGTAATATCATAAAAAGGAAAAACGGAAACTTAATTTATAATCTTACTCTTCATAACATTATACTTTCAGATATTTTCTAAACTATGTTTACCTCTGCATTAAGCATTGTTCAGTAGTGTTTGTTTTTTTAAATACACCTTTGTAGCCTTTAAAGTTGCTAATATGTGTTGTGGTTCTCTAGAAGAAGTAAGAGTATAAAGTGCAACATTTCCCACATTTACTGACCAAAGAACCTGATTTTAGACAAATACTTATTAATTTCTCAAAGGACATTGTTGTTTGTTAGACCAGTTTGAGAAGCTGTTCTAAAGAATTGATTCTAATGGTGTTTCAAAAGAAAAGGTATTCTAAATTCTTAATACTTATTCCCAAGATTTATATAGATTGTTTATAGGCAAATATATGAAACAGTAAAATTTAGAAACCTGTTTTAAATTTTTTTTTTATGATTTGGTCTATTTCTATGCACTGCCTTGTTGATTAGACTTAAGTCAGAACTTAAAACTAACTTTAGAGGAAAAATATTTTGAGAATTTATGATTTAATGTTTGTTTAATAGAATGTTAACTTTCTTTTTTAGAGTTTTGTGAAAGATCAGTTAGAAGAATGTAGAAAATCAGATGCAGAGCAATATCTCAAAAGTCTCTATGATCTGTATACAAGGTACATTTTTAATTATTAAAAAATAATATTCAACTTTATTTTTTTAATGGAAAAAGGGGAAATATTCAGTATTTTTTGAGTAATAGCCTACCAGATAGCAGTATACAGTATTAAATACTTGGCTGTGTGGACTAGACTTATGCAAGAGCAGCATTCTTATTACTTTGAGGAATTAGATGTTCTGCTTTATCCTGATGTACTAAGAACCATAAAACCTTCTGTTTTTAAACTAATCCTAAAGGATTTCGCTTCTGATTTTAATTGTAAACTATTTCACTTCTTAACTTTTTTCTCTAAGAATGAGTATAATTACATTTATCTCAGTTAAACTTTACAATAGGAAGTGACATATTCTTAACAAATGATAATTTCAGCCTTAAGTCTGATGTGAGAGTTTGTCTTGTGCTTTTGTGATGGTAGTATTGCTCTTAAAGACATTATTTCAGAAGCTTTATTTTCCTTGACTTTTCCCAACTCTGTTGCCATACTTTAGTCTCTTTATTTAAGGAGGTTTTTAAAAGTTACCATAACAACAAATTTCATCTCAAAAATACTATCTTCAACAATAGGAAATGAAAAATGAGAGGAAAGTTAAATGGACATAGACAAAACAGGGTAAACAGAGAGAGTAGAYGTCCCAGTATTTTGTTTTGGGTACCTTGTGATGAATGGCATTAAAGCATTCCTGAATCCATTCTGTCACCATTGCCATTTCTGGACTGGTTATTTGTCTCATAGTTTTTTCTAGAGTTTCTGACAGTTCTGAAAACCATAATGTTACTTTGCAATATTCCATTTTACCTAACTCTGCATTCTAAGTACTCTTTCAAGGTTTAAGAAACGGTGGTTTAATATAAGTTTAAAAAAAAATCACATTGTAAAATATTTATTCCTTAACATTGTTGTTATACCTAAAATATACATTAATCTTTTTCTCCCCCTTTTCCATTGAAAAGAACCACCAATCTTTCCAGCAAGTTGATGGAGTTTAACTTAGGTACTGATAAACAGACTTTCTTGTCTAAGCTTATCAAATCCATTTTCATTTCCTATTTGGAGAATTATATTGAGGTGGAGACTGGATATTTGAAAAGCAGAAGTGCTATGATCCTACAGCGCTATTATGATTCAAAAAACCATCAAAAGAGATCCATTGGTACAGGAGGGTGAGTTTTTAAAGTTAAATATTATATTGAAACTGAAGACTTTTTTTTTTCATTTCAGATGCCAATAAACATTTCTTTTTATTGCTAAATAATATTGCATTATATGGATATATGATACATGTTGAGTAGACATTTAGGTTGTTTAGAGTTTGGATTATTTGGCTTTTTGAGTTTTTTATGCATTCTAGATATTAATCCTGTGTCAGAAGAGAGGCTAGCAAAGATTTTCTCCCATTCTATAGGTTTTCTCTTCACATTCCTAATTGTTTACTTTCCTGTGAAGAAGCTTTTTACATTTGATGCTATTCCATTTATTAACTCTTGGCATTATTTCCTGAGGTTTATGCGTCTTATTGAGAAAGTCATTGCCTGTGCCTATAACTAGGGCATTAACCTACGTTTTCTTCTAAGAGTTGCATGGTTTCTGGCCTAATTCATAGATCTTTGATCCATTTTGAGTTGATTTTTGTGCAGGGTGAATGATAAGGGTCTAGCTTTATTCTTCTACATATGGATAACAAGTTTTCCCAGTACCATTTATTAAAAAGGCTGTCTTTTGGGGCTGGAGTTGTAGCTCAGTGGTAGAGCGCTTGCTTAGCATGTATGACGCACCGGGTTCCATCCTCAGCACCACATAAAGATAAGTCAAGTAAAGACATTGTGTCCATATACAACTAAAATATATATATATATATATATATATATATTTTAAAAAAGGTCTGTCTTTTCTCCAATATATGTTTTTAGTACCTTTGTCAAGGATCAGATGACTGTGGATATGTGGGTTTCTCTTTGTGACTTCTATTCTGTACCATTGATCTATGTGTCTGTTTTTATGCCAACACCATTGCAGTTTTTGTTATTATAGCTCTGTAGTATAGTTTGAAGTCAGGTATCTTGATGCCACTAGTATTGCTCTTTTAGCTTAAAATTGTTTGGGCTACTCTGAGTATTTTATTCTTCCAAATGAATTTTAGGACTGGTTTTTCTAGTTCTGTGAAGAATGTCCTTGGTATTTTGATGGGGATTGCATTGAATCTGTATATTGCTTTGGGTAGTATGGCCATATTTAACAATATTAATTCTGCCTCTCCATGAACATGGGAGGTCTTCTCTAATTTCTTACTTCAGTATTCTATACTTTCATTGTAAAGGTCTTTCATCTCCTAAAACTGAAGGTATTTAAGAACATTATTACATTTGGGCAAACTTAACAAATATTGACTGTCACAAATATTTTCTCCAAAGAACTCTTTTAACCCACATTGTTTGTACTACTGACCAAATCCTGCTCTTGAACCATGTTTTGGGGGGGAAAAAAAACTAACGTGATTAAAATATGTAAAACAGACACTTGACAATTAAAAAAATGTGTATCAAAGACCTAGGAATTAGACCAGAATCCCTGCATCTACTAGAAGAAAAGGTAGGCCCAATACTTCCACATATTGGTTAAGCTATGGAATTAACTTAGATGCCCATCAACAGATTAGAAAGAAATTGTATATATATACACAATGGAACATAATTTGGCCATTAAAAAGAATGATTTTATGACATTTGCTAGTAAATGGGTGGATCTGAAGACTATCATGCTAAGAGAAATAAGCCAGTCCCAAAAAACCAAAGGTCAAATGTTTTTGCTGATATGTAGACGCTAAACCACAGTAAAGGGGGGAGTGGAAGAAGAGAAGTTCTGTAGATTAAACAAAGGGGAACAAAAGGAAGTGGGTGGTAGGAATAGGAAAGACAGTAAATCTAAAATAATTCTATGAACATATATGCAAATACCGTGAGCACCACCATTGTGCCTACCCACAAGATGAGGTCATAAGTAGAATAAGGTATATCCTATGCTTGTATAATTTTATCAGAATGGCTTCTATTGTCATGTATAACTAAGAAGAACCAATAAAATAACATTTGAAAATATTTTAATATAAAACAATATCAGTGATATCAAGAGTTCTGGTTTTATTTTTGCCCCCAGTGGTGAGGATTGGGTGCTTCTACCACTGAGCTACATCTCCAGTCTTTTTTATTTTGAGACAGTGTCTTGCTTAGTTCCCTGGGCTGACCTAAAACTTGATATAGTCTTGCCTCAGCCTTCCAAAATACTGAGATTACAGCAGGTGCCACTATACCTGACTTTTCTTTTTTTCTCTTTTTCCCAGAGTAAATTATTTTAGGTCATTGACTAAGAATCACATCATTTTTGTTATTGTTATTGTTGCAGGTGGAGAACAAAAAACAAATAGTTTACAATTTAGTTGGTCCTGAATTGATAAGTTTGGGGGATCACTTGAGTATAAAACTATTAAATTAATATTTTAGAGCCTGCAGCTCTTCACATACTAGAAGAAAATGACTGAGTAGGTGGCATCTCAGTTGTCCATACCTTAACTACCTCAAACCTAGTTGATTCTAGGAGGTAGAATGACTTCTGGGTTGCCATACAATCAGAGTTGAGAGTCCACACTCTATACACCTATATTATTTTCATGTTTCTCAGTTTGTGTATTAAATAATGACCAGAGAGAAGTATAACTAGGAAGAAGAGGCATAATCTGAAAGGCAGTACAGAACAACTGATGAACAGTCATAAGATATTTTTTAAAAAAATAAGTTCACAGGAGCTATATATAGTCTAGGATGAAAAAAAAAAGAGATACCCCATATAATAAATGTTCCAGGTAATCCTTGATCACTAAGAGAAGCTAAATTGTGTTTAACGGATCTGTTTAATGTAGTGAAGAAATGTGTCAAATCTTTAAATGGTTGAATATATTAAAAGTCATTAAAATTTTGGAAGTTTTATTTTTAAACAGGACTATTTATCTTTTACGTTTACTTATTTGGAATAGCTTGCTTCCTGGTTGATTTAGAATTGTAAAGCGGAATAGGATTTTAGAGATCCTAATTTCAAGTTTCATTTTCAGATGAAGTTTTTCACAGAACTAGTTTTTGGAATTAGAATTTAGATTTTTCGGTTATTGCTTTTGTTTTTGTTGATGATGTATACTAAGTTTGAGAATACTTGAAGTTAAAATCCACATGTTCTTTTTTCATTTGTCCATACTAGTATTCAAGATTTGAAAGAAAGAATTAGACAACGTACCAACTTACCACTGGGGCCAAGTATTGATACTCATGGGGAAACTTTCCTATCCCAAGAAGTGGTGGTTAATCTTTTACAAGAAACCAAACAAGCCTTTGAAAGATGTCATAGGGTAAGATTGATTGTAAATTTGTTTTACTCATGATTGGTGTATCTATTTTAAGTTTTACCTTGTTGATACAAAGATAAAATCTATTCTCTGATTAGAAGCAACTATTTTTTTCTTTGCTTTTTAAAATTTTTTAATTGACATGTAAAAATTATACATACTTATGGGGTACCATGTGATATTTTCATACATGTCTACTTTGAGGAATGTTCAAATCAGGGTAAGCATATATATCCCCCTCAAACATTTCTTTCCTTCTTTTTTTTTTTTGGTAATGAAAACATTCAAAAGCCATTCTTTTAGTTTTTTTGAAGTAGAAAGATTATTTTTATTACCTGTAGTCACCCTAATAATTGCAATGGATGCAACAGAACACCAGAAATGGGTTATCTTTTATCTACCTATAACATAGTACCTGTTGACCAACCTTTTCCCGTGCCTTTCTCCTCACCACCCCCTCAGCTTGTGGTAACCACTGTTCTACTCTTAATTTCTTTGAGATCTCCTTTTTAGAGTGAGATCATTCCTGGCTTATTTCATTTAACATAATGTCTTTCAGTTCTATCCCATGGTTGCAAATGACAGGATTTCATCCTTTTATGGCTGAATATTATTTCCCTGTTTATATATACTACCTTTTCTTTATCTGTTCATCAGTTGATGTACACTTAGATTGATTTCATTTCTTGGCCATTATGGATAATGCTGCAAGAAATATGGGAGTGCAGATGTCTCCTCAATGTGCTGATTTCATTTCCTTTGTATGTATACTTGGTAATGGATCATATGGCAATTCTAATTTTAATTTTTTAAGGAACCTCCCTACTGTTTTCCATAATGGCTATACTGATTTCTATTACCACTAATAATGTGCATGGTGGGTTCCTTTTTCTCCACATTATTGACAACACTTATAATTTTTTTTATAATAACTATTCTAATTTGAGAAAGGTGATCTCATTGTGGTTTTTATTTGCATTTCTCTGATAATTAGTGATGGTCAGCATTTTTCATATATCTGTTAGCCATTTATATAAGTCTGGCCTATTGTCCATTTTTAATTTTATTTATTTTATTTTAATTTTATTTATTTATTTATTTTGTTGTTTTGGATCCTTATATGTTCTAGACATTAACCTCTTATCAGATATATAATTTGCAAATATTTTCTCCTGTAGGTTGTCTCTTCACTCTTGATTATTTCTTTTGCTGTGTAGAAGCTGTTTAGTTTGATTAATCCTGTTTTGTCCCTTTTTTTAATCCCTATGCTTTCAGGGTCTAATCCAAAAAAATCTTTGCCCACTCAAATGTCATGAAGTATTTCCCCTGTATTTTCTGTTAGAATTGTTATAGTGTCAGGCTTACACTTAAGTCTTTAATTAATTTTGAATTGATTTGTGTATGTTCTTTTTTAAATGTGAGTAACCATTTTTTCCAGCACCATTTATTGAATGATTTGTCCTTTCCCCAACATGTGCTCATAATACCGATGTCAAAGATAGTTGGCTATTCGTGGGTTTACTTCTAGGTTCCATTGGTCTTTGTGTCTGCTCTTATGCCAACACCAGGCTGTTTTAATAAAACTTGGTAGTATATTTTGAAATCAGGTATTGTTAAGTGTCCTAATTTTTCGTTTTATTCAAGCTTGCTTTTGTCCTTTGGAGTTTTAGTGGTTCCATAAGAATTTTAACATTGTTTTTTTCTAGCGCTGTGAAGAATGTCATTGGTAGTCTGATGGGGATCATATTGAATCTGTAGTTTAGTTGGGTACTATGGACGTTTTAACAATATTGATTCTTCCAGTCTATGAACATGGGCTATTTTTCCATTTTTGTATGTCCTCTTTAGTTTCTTTCATCAGTGTTTTATAGTTTTCATTAAAGATATCCTTCATCTTTTTGGTTACATTTATTCCTAGATATTTATTATTTTGTAGCTATTGTAAGTGGGATTGCTTTGTTGTTTTCTTTTTGGGGAATTTACTGTTGGTCATATAGAAATGCTATTGATCTTTTTCTTTTCTTTCTTTCTTTTTTTTTTTTTTAAATCTTCTGACTGCTGAATTTGCTTATTTGTTCTAATAATATTTTGGTGGATTCTTTGGGTTTACTAAGTTTAAGACCATGTTGTTGGCGAACTGTGAGGATTTGTATTTTTCAATTTTTCAAACTTAACTACTGTGTTGAATAAAAGTGGTGAAAGTCTGAATCCATGCTTTGTTCCAGATCTTAGAATGTTTTCAACTTTTCCCTGTTCATTATGAAATTAACTGTGGACTTCTTACATATGGCTTTTATGATGTTGAATTATGTTCTGACCTTGTCTATTTGTTCAGAGTTTTTAATCTTGAAGAGAGATTGGATTTTATCAAATGCTTTTTCTGCATCTACGAGATGATCATATAGTTTTTATCCTTCATTCACTTGACGTGTTGTGTCACATTTACTGATTTATGTGTGTCAAAGCATCTCTTAGATGAATTCCCTTGGTTAGATGGATAATCTGTTGGATATGCTGTTGGATTCAGATGGTAGTACTTTGTTGAGGATTTGCATCTGTGTTCAACAGGGATATTGGCCTATAGCTTTCTTTTTGTTGTTGTTGTAACCCTTGTTTGGCCTTGGTATCAGAATAATGCTGGCCTCAAATAATGTGTTTGGAAGAATTCTAGTATTTGGAATTATTTGGGCAATGTTCGTATTCATTTTTTTTTTTTTTAAAGAGAGAAGAGAGAGAGAGAGAATTTCTTTTAACATTTATTTTTCAGTTCTCGGCGGACACAACATCCTTGTTTGTATGTGGTGCTGAGAATCGAACCCGGGCCGCACGCATGCCAGGCGAGCGCGCTACCGCTTGAGCCACATCCCCAGCCCCTCGTATTCATTTTTTTACATATTTGGTAGAATTCAGAATTGAAACCATCTGGCTCTGGACTTTCYTTTTATGGGAGGCATTTTATTACTGATTTAATCTCATTATTCATTACTGATCTGTTAAGATTTTTCTATTTCTTCATGATTCTATCTTTGTGAGATGTATGTGTTCAGGAATTTACCTATTTCTTACAAAATATCGACTCTTAGTATACAGTTGTTTGTGATAATCTCTAAGATCCTTTGTATGTCTGTGATGTCAGTTACAGTGTCTCCATTTTTATCTCTGATTTACATACAGACATTTTCTTAGTGTAGCTAAGGTTTTTTTTAACTCATCATTTTGCTGATTCTTTATTGATTTTTGTGTGTGTGTGCACTTTATTTATTTTTGCTCATCCTTCTAAATCTTCTACTAATTTTGAGTATGGTTTRTTCTGTTTTTCTATTTCCTTGAGACTCAAGAATAAATTGTTTTGAGATTTTCCTACTTTTTTGACATTGGCATTGACTGTTATAAACTTCCCTGTTTTGCTTTTGCTGTCCCATAAATATTGGCGTTTCCATTGTCATTTGTCTCAAGACGTTTTTTAAATTTTTTTTCTATATTTCTTTATGGATCAATTGGTGATTCAGAAGTCATTTATTTAATATTCATGTATTTGAGTAGTTACCAAACTCTTTCTTGTTGTTATTTTCTAGTTTTATTACACTGTAGTTATTAAAAAAATACTCAATGTGTTTTTTAGTTTTTCAAAATTTGTTGAGACTTGTTCTTTGGCCTACCATATGATCTGTCATGGAGAATGTTCCATGTACTTTTAAAAAGAATATGTATTCTGTAGCTTTTGCGTGGAATGTTCTGTAAATGTCTATTAGGTTCAATGGTCTAGAGTACAGTTTACTATTTGTTACTGTGTTAATTTTCTGTCTGGATGATCTGTTCTTTGCTGAAAATGGGGTGTTAAAGTCTATACTATTATTGTTTTGGGTTCTAGCTCTCTTTTTCTATTTGCTTTATATATCTGGGTACTCTGATATTGGGTGCATATATATTTGTAATTGTTATTTTCTTTTGCTGAATTGAATCCATCATATAATGACTTTGTTTTAATTGCTTTTGATTTAAAGTCTACTTTATCTAAGTATGACCTTACTTTCTTTTGGATTCCATTTGTATGGGATATCTTTTTCCATCCCTCCACTATTGACTATGTTCATTCCTAGAAATGAATGAATTTTTTTGTAAACACTATATATAGTTAAGTCTTATTTTTTAATTCATTCACTCTTTTAATTGGATAATTTAATCTATTTATATTTAAGATGATCATCAATAGGTAAAGTCCTATTACTGCCATTTTATTACTTGTTTTCTAGTTTTTCAATAGTCTTTTTCTTTCTCCCCCTTTTATAGCCTTCCTTTGTTGTGAAATGTTTTCATTCTTTGCATATTATTTTTGCTGTATCTGATTACAGGTTTTTCTTTTGTGGTTACAGTGAGACTTATGAAAATCTCTTTTGATTATTAGAAGCTATTTTGAACTGAGAACTTAATTTTGATTGTAAGGATAGGAAAAGAAAGAAAAATAGTAATTTAAAAACTCTATACTTCCTATATTTTGAATTTTTGACCTATTTTGCATTTTGTATTTCATTTTTTTTTCTTTTGGTCTAAGGATTGAACCCCAGGGACACTCAACCCTAAGTCCTTTTATTTTATTTATTTATTTTTTATTTTGAGACAGGGTATCACTAAGTCCCTGAGGGTGGCTTCAATCTTGGAGTCCTCCTGCCTCAGTCTCACCTACCGCTGGGATTACAGGCATGTACCACTGTACCCAGCTTATCTTTTAACATATTAATGTGTTTTTTTTTTTTTTTTTTTTTTGGTGCTGGGGATTGAATCCAGGGCTTTGTAAATGTAAGGCAAGCACTCTACCAACTGGGCTGTATTCCCAGCCCCTTAATGTGTCTTTTATCATTTTTGTTTTGTTTTTTAGGTTTCATACTAATGATATAAATGGTTTATGCACCAATTGACAATATTAGAACATTCTGAATTTCTTTGTGTATTTACTCTTACTAATGAGTTTTAAACATTAGAGCATTTTCTTCTTACTTATTGGC